CCCGCCGGCCCCCCCGTTCCCCCCCTCCCTCTCCTGCTTCCCCCCGGACTCCAAAGCCCCCCCGGCCGCCGCCCAGGGCGGGGTCCCGGCGCCGCCGCCGGAGACCCTCCTGGTGGCCACGGGCGACGCCGAAGCCGCGGCGGCGCCGGCCCTGCCCGAGGGGGCCCCCCCTGCGCCCGCGGGACCCCCCGGCCCGCCGGGCCCGCCGTCGCCGTCGCTGTTCATGGCGCGGCTGCCGCCCCGCGCCGGCTCCTACATCCAGAGCGAGCACAGCTACCAGGTGGGCTCCGCCCTGCTCTGGAAGCGCCGCGCGGAGACCGCGCTCGACGCCCTCGGCAAGGCCCAGAGGCAGCTCCAGGCGGGGAAGCGGCGGGAGCAGCGGCTCCGGCAGCGCCTGGCCGAGCTCCAGAGGGACACGCGGCACGTCCTGGAGCTCCAGAGGGACACGCGGGGGATCCCAGAGCTCCAGAGGGACACGTGGGATATCCCGGAGCTCCAGGGGGACACACGGGGGATTCCGGAGCTCCAGAGGGACACGCGGGGGGTCCCAGAGCTCCAGAGGAGCCCCAGGGACCCCCTGGCTGAGGGGAAGGTGGAGCCGGTGGGGGACGGGGGGAGGTGAGTCCTGGGCACCGGGGTGGGGGGAGGCTGTAAATAAAGATTTCACATTTTCCATGTGGAGTCTGTGGGGATTTCTGCGAGTTTCGGGAGGTTTCTGGGGATTTATGGGAATTTCTGGGAGCTTTTAGGAGTTCCCAGGAGGAATTTCAGGCGGAAAGTCTTCCCGGTGAGGGCGGTGAGTGGAATTCCAGGTGCCACCAGGAGCTGGGACAGGGAAGGGTTTGGAGTGACGGGACACAGGGAAGGGCTTCCTGCTGAGACTGGAGAGATTTAGGTAGGATATGGGGAAGGAATCCCACCCTGTGAGGGCAGGGAGGGGCTGGGATGGCACCCAAAAAAAGTGGGAATTAAGGGTTTAATTTCCATGTCACAGACAGGCCGGGCTGGGATAACCCCCCAGCCCAGCCCACAGTGCCTGATTAGCCCCTAATTAGCCTCGTTAATTAGCCCGAGGCCGCTACAGACTGAGCCTCATGTCCTGGATGGCGGCGAAGGTGTCCGGGGTCAGCGGGACGTAGGATCGCCGGGAATCGTCGCGGAAGAACAGCGGATCCCGGACCAGCTGGGGGTCGAAGCCCTCCCGGACCAGGTTGTTCTTGGACTGCTTGAAGGTGCCCGTGATCTCCAGGGCGTCCTGGGGACGAGGGATGTCGGGAAGGGGGGGGTCCCGGGGCCGTGTCCGGGTGCTGGTGGGGGTTGATCCCCCCCTTGGCACAGGGTGACCCCCCCTTGGAACCGGATGAGCCTGAAGGCCCCTCCCAACCCCAACCCAACCATTCCCTGGTTCCACCGTGCCGTGATTGGAACCGGGCGCTGGTGCTGAGGGATCACCCTCCTCCTGAGGCCAAACCCCCCCAGTCCCAAGCCCTGGAGCCCTCCTGGAGCCCCCCAGGCCTGGGCCGGGGGTGTCCCGCTGACCTGGACCCTGACGAAGCGAGGGGCAGCGTAGGAGGGCAGCGTGTCCCGCGTGAAGGCGTACAGGGTGTCCCCGTCGAAGGTGGCCCCGTCCTTGAGGCGCACGGCGGCCATGCCACAGCGGCCCTCGCACCCTGCGGGCAGCACCGGGGGTCACCGGGGGCCACTGCGGCTGCTTTGAGTCCTCCCGGGTCACCTGGGTCCACTTGGGGCCACCAAGGTCACCTGGGGCCACCTGGGGCAACCACGACTCCTTTGAGTCCTCCTGGGGCCACCTGAGTCACCTGGGATCACCTGGGGCAACCAGGTGGCCGCGGGCCGGACTCACCGGGCACGGCCACACCGTAGACGTTGACCTCCTGGATGAACCCCACCGCGGCCAGCGTGGCCTCCACCTCCGTCGTGGCCACGTTCTCCCCTTTCCACCTGGGCGGGAGGAGGAGGAGGAGGAGGAGGGGGCAGCGCCGTGAGCCGAGCGCTCGGGCCGGCGCCCACGGCCGGGACGCGCGGGCCGGAATTACCGGAAGGTGTCCCCGACGCGGTCCTGGAAGTAGAGGAAGCCCTGGTGGTCCATGATTAGCAGGTCACCGCTGTTGAAGAAGGCGTCGCCCTTGGCCAGGACGTCCCGCAGGACCTTCTGCTCCGTCTTGCGGGCGTCGCCGGCGTAGCCGTGGAACGGCGCGTGCCGCGTGATCTTCACCACCAGCAGCCCCGTCTCGCCTGGGAGGGGGTCGGGAGGGGGGGTTTAGGCCGCCCGAGGAGGACCAGGGGGTGGTTTTGGTGGCCTCCCTGCAAGGCCCGGCTCTTACCGGGCCCGAGGGGGATGCAGAGCCCGCGCTCGTCCCGCACGGGCTTGTCCGTGGCCACGTCGTACTTGATCAGCTCGAAGGGTGTGAAGAACTGGGGGGGCACAGGGAGAGAAACCCGGGATTAAAACCTGGTGGGGGGCAGGTTGGGCCTGCTGGGATCGGGCCTTTCCCCTCCCCCTGCAATCCCAACACCCTGGGGGTTAAAAACTGCTTGGGTTCGACCAGCCTGGATTGGAAATGTCTGAGTCTGAATCTTTGAGTCAGTCTAAATCCCTGAGTCAGTCTGAATCTTTGAGTCAGTCTGAATCTTTGAGTCAGTCTAAATCCCTGAGTCAGTCTAAGTCTTTGAGTCTAGAAGTCCAAATCTTTAAACCTGTAATTCTAAACCTTTAGGTCTAAATTTTGATTTAAATCTTTCAGTCTAAATCTTAAGTCTAAATCTTATTTAAACCTATTTAAATAAGGCCCAAACATCTCCAATTTACCCCAACCCCCCCCAACTGACCCCAAACACCCCCCGTTGGCCCCAAACCCCCCAGTTCTCACCTTGA